GGGAGCATCGTCCGTCGAGCCTATGCAATCTATTCACTGTAGCCGCAAAAGGTTTCCACCACTTGAAAATGGTGCAAAAAGCCGACCCGATAATGGTACTCGCCTGGAATCGCCGTTTGAATTTAGTGCTTGATGCTTTTATATAGGCATCCCCGCTCGATGGTGTCCCCATGCTCATTCTTTTACAAGATCTCCCCGCTTGTCCTTGAAATATTTATTATAGTTAGGATAAGAATGCCATATGTCTCTAGCTAATTTTCTGTTGGGCAATGAAGAACACCTATATTTAATAATATTGAAGCTCATCGTAAACCCAACAAGCCATTCAACAACGTATTATATTAATTACCTGTATTATTAACCCTTACTACGATCTCTACCCCTTTATTCATTCGTGTATAAACACTAAATAGTAGCAACGTATAATGAACTATCTAGATCTACTGGCTTCTACCTACGGCCGTCTACGATTACCATCTAATATTTTCTTTGCCTTGACACTTCTATAAAGGGAATACTAGATCGATGGCTTCTACGCTTCTCTAATACTTTTACAAAAGTGGAGATATGAAAGTAGGAGAATAAGTTCTTACTGCGATAGCGCTGATAGCTGATACCCTGGTTATTTTCGTTTCTTGCATCGACTCGGGCGGGGAATTTGATGTCAGAGTGGGATATGTACACTTTGCTACCTAGGATGAAGACCAGTCTTGTATGTACGTCTATATGTGTGCTCTTACTGCTGACGCAACGGGCAGGGTGTAGGTGCACGAATAATTGCCTCTCTACGCTTATTCTGCGTCTCTCACTTCAGTGCTTAATATTTATATCTCGACTCAAGCCATATTCTTTCACCCCAGAAAATAATTACGGCCAAAGAGATATCGTAGCGCCAGCCACTCGAGCCATCTACGACTCCACTTCGAAGAACAGTCGGGCCGAGAGATGGCGTGGTTGCTATGTACAAGCAGCGAATCCAATCGCTCTTAGTAGATCTCAACGAAATGACGGACAAAATTATCCCAACGAGATGATGACGGATTTCATACAATATGGCAATCATGGCCAACGTAGTAAAGCCGGACGCGGGTCTTAGGTGCGGAAAAGCTCGTTTAGATACTCAATTTAACCCTATCTATGCGAAGAGTACGTACGAGTCTACGTCCGGATGTTCACTTCAAATGGCCGTGTGAGGAGAGTAACAAAGTCTACATCTGCATGCAGCTGTCCACTTCAACTTCGGACGCAAGGAGGGACACATTTCTGGTTTACCCCGGCATTTGCTAGGTAGGATACAGGCGGAGTTTTCTGTAGCCACGGTTAAATGTGGCCCCATGGCAAGGTCACAGTAACGAAGAAGGAAAACGGCACATCACATAGGATTATGAATACAGCGAGAATGGTGAGATTTGCACGCATGGACACTACTAGCCTCAGCCGCGGATTTCGTTGGTACGTTATCTACGCTGGCCAGTTCCACACGGTGACGAAACACGAGATATTCGGCCCACGATGAAAAGGGCGATGATCGCGTTCGAACGGCGCGGACGCGTGAGGGGGAAACAGAGTGGCAAATTTGCCACAGCCGTGGTGAGTGGGTGAGTGATTGGTTTCTGATTTCCACAAAGTTATCACGCAGGTGAGTGATGAATATGTCGGCCCTCACCCAGCGACTGCCTAATCAGCACGGCACATGACACACAGGCGCGTGGCATGGCTGCGGCGGCCAGCAACCGGCAGCACCCCGGCGCGTGACGGGCGGGCGCAGCGGCCGACGGGGCCTCCATAAATATCTTTGGTAGCCCCCCGACCCTCGAACCTTCTTCATCCTCCTCCATCCTCCTCCTCCTTCAAGGTAGGTCTACTCACTGACAGTGCCTCATTGCCTCTCCATCTCACTATCCCCTTTCCTCCTTACTGTTCACTTGCTGACGCTCTACTAAGAAGCTTGCCTTTGGCGGCTTCGCCCCAGTGGGACCACCGATCAATGCCTACTCTGCAGGCAGCTCTTTGGGCACCCGATCGACTCCACCTCCCGTCCCCTCTCCTCCCCTCCCTCCCTCCCTCCTCTCCTCTCCTCCCCTTCCTCCCTCCTCTCCCCTCCCGCTCTCCTCCCCTCCCTCTTTCCTCCCCTCCCCTCCCTCCTCTCCCCTCCTCTCCTTCCTCTCTCTTCTCCTCCCCTCCCCCTCCCCTCCCCTCCCCTCCCGTCACCCTCCCCTCCCGTCCCCCCCTTCCCCTTCCCCCTCACCCCAACCTCCCAACCCTCTGGTCGGGTCTGCCCTTGTGGGGCCCTTGACCAATGCCTACTCCGCAGGCAGCTCTTCGGAGGACTTACAGTTTTACGAGTCAAGGCTACTCTGAAGCCTGGGCGGGTGGGATTCCCAGCATCGCACAAGCGACTGGGGGTTTAATCAATATACTTTTTACTTTTCTTTGCTCATTTGATGCCACTGTGTACTGCAACAGCAATGTGAATTCGCGCGGACGGCACTCACTACTCAGCTTCCCATACCACATTGACCACGTGCAATCGCTGCCACAACAAAGTGGAAAGTTCATTGTAGCAACCATGGGATATGACGATCTCTATCAAAGTCACGACTTGCTACTGAGCGTCGTCAGTGCTTCATGAGGGCAAGCACCGGGTGTATCGATTGATAGTATTTGCTTCCCGGTTTATCTCCCACAAGAACAAGCGCAGCAAAGTGTGAGTTTCCGCTGTAATCTGTGCTGTCCGCAACCACAAAACCTTTCACATTCGATGAAGGAAAAGAAAACATTGAGAACAATATACCAACGGTCTACATCTTATCTACACTTCTTTTTTTTCCCGCTTGACCAAGTCTTCCATGCTTCTAAACCCTCCATCTGCCTGTGTCATCCCAACCGGCCCCCTCCCCTCATCTGTTCGCCGTCTCGACCTGCACAGCCCCCGCGCTCGCGCCCACACCCAAATCAGTCACCCCCAGCTCATCCGGCCGCGGCTTCCCAGCGTCGACATCCCACCCCCGCACATCCACCTCCCTCGCAACGAACCCCTCCCTCCCCGCCGCCTCGCCTCCCAGCAGCAGCAAATCCCCCACATTCCTTACGACCTGCACCTCACTCGCCCGCATCCGCCTCAAATGGCGCTTGAACGCCCTCTCCCTCGCCGCCTCACCCCGCTCGTCCGCATCCTCCGCCGGCGCCCTTCCTTCCTCGGCCTCCAGCGCCGCCATCTCCCTCTCGCACGCCGCCGCCGTCTTCCCCAGGACGGCGTGCATGCTCTCGAGCACCTTCTCCGCCGCCCGCGCCAGCGGCAGCCGCGTCGCCGGCACGTCGTCGCCGCTCTTCCAGCTGGCGCGACCCAGCGTCCCCTCCTCCGCCGCGCACGCCTCGCGCAGCCGCGCGACCGTCAGCGCGGCGAACATGTCGCCCGTGCCGGAGAAGAAGTGCGGGAAGGCGGGGGCGTCGAGCCGGAAGAGGCGCGGGGCGCCGGCGCTGGTCGAGGTGGAGCCGACGACGGTGAGGTGGGTGGGGGTGTCGGTGGAGGAGGGGGCCAGGATGGTGTGGTCGTCGGTGGGGGAGAGGCGGAGGGAGGTGATGATGATGTGGGGGATGTGGTAGGTTGAGTGGAGGCGTTGGATGGCGGTGGCGAGGGTGGTGAGGTTGGTGATTTTGGTGTCGGAGAGGAGTCTATGTGGGGGATTGTGGTGAGCTTCTTTTGTTGTTGTAGGTGGGTTTCGGGTTGGGAGGAAGGTGTTCTTACTCGGCCTCGAACTGGTTCGGCAGGATGAGATCTGCCTCACGCAGCAGCGCCTTGTACTGCGGTATCTCGTCTTCGGGTACGTAGCACCGTCCCTGGTCGCCCATGACGGGGTCCAACACTGCATTTCCCCACGCCTGTCAGCACTCACGACAACTCCCAAAGTATGACTCCCTTGGGTTGTGCTGCCCGGAAGAACGTACCCCAGAAGAAGCTCCCCGGCTTAACCGACGCGTTGAACCTCAAATCCCTCCCGATTTTACCCACCGCCTGCACCGCCTCGGCGCTTGGCATGTAGCCGGACAGCAGGACATCGAAGTTGTTCAGGTCCGACTGTTTCAGGCCCTCGTAGAGCTCGAGGATTTCGTCGGCCGTCGTCTTGCGCCCCTTGACCTGCTTGTATGCCGTGTGGTTGCCTACGCGAAACCCCGCTGTGTAAGCCCGGGGCTCGTTGGGGGTCTGTTTTCGCGTCGTGCAAAAAGAGGAGTCATAGCGGTCGAGAGGTCCCGAGGTGGGCTGACTGACTGTAGTGAACCGTGTTGATGGCTGATACTTCGCACCCGAGTGCTTGCATTATAAAAGTCGCCATCTTGTTCCCGACGTAGCTACATGGTCGCGCGCAAAGTCTCAGTAATCGCGTTGTGCGGCGCGGCGAAGTTTGCTCGACTCACCCATGGACGACCTAACAGTGCGGCGGAGGCGGCGCGCGCGATCAGCCATTGTCTTTGAGAAATGACAAAGTGCTTACATGGCTAGCAATCGCGAGGACATGCGTCTCTGGTATGGAGGACTCTCGGGACATGTTTGCACAGGGATCGAATCGGGAGATGCAAAAGCAGGGTGTGGGATCTGAGGATTGGAATTTCTTTGCGCCTTATCTGCGCGACACACGCACAGTGACGTGTGGGGCTACCCCGCGATACCCGGCCCGCGCCTGGAATTGGACCGAATTCGCCGTCGAAAAGATCTCCCACCCGCATATCGTCGAATGAAATGAAGAAATGAAAAAAGCCCACCATTTTGCATCGAGAACAAATCATCTAACCTCGCCGTTTTTCCCGGGAAACAACTGCAACCTAACCCATGCACCCTTGCAGTATTCCTACACTTGCTGATATCGTCGTCGTGTTTATTATTCGTGAACCTTGCAATAGCTAATACACTTTACTCCTCGTCGCCAATCTAATAATTCGTCAGTATGTCATCATGATTTCGGACACGTGGACGCCTCACCTTGGGCGCGAGATAGAATCTCAGGTAGCTGTTGTTCGAGAGCGAGTACTCAACCAGGAGCGGCACCTCGTTCGACAGGCAAAGCCTGACCTTGGACGACAAACCAGTGGCGGCGGTGAAGTTGGACAGGTACTTGAGAGAGAAGGTGAGGGAGACGGGCTCCGACAGGTCAATCTCCACATTGTTGTCCTCCTTCTCGACATCCGTGTGCTGGCGCAGGGTGACGGAGCCGGAGCCAATGTCACCCTGGCACGAGAACTTGACACCCTCCTTGGTACACTCAATGGCCACTATGCACCGTCAGCTTGTACCTTGTATGGCGCATCGTTCGTATCGTACCGGACTCGGAAAGGGCCATCAGGTCCCTGGTGATCCTCTGGAACTCGGTAGAGGGCATGGAGATGGTGGCAGCGTAGTCGGTCTCGGGAATACCCAGGTGCTCCTGATCAATGTCCATGAGCTTGATGTCGTATTCGCTGATTCTGTCGCTCTGGGCGCTCTCGAAGGTGAAGTTGACGACATCGGGAGCATCCTCAGCCTTGAGCGTAAGGATATCCTCATTCTGTGCGCAGCGGAGGACCTTGGTGAGCGAGGTCAGGTTGATGCCGAGAGCAATGTTTCTGTCGCAGCGGAAGGGCGAAAAGCTCTCGGACTTGAGCATCATCGACACCAGGGCAACGTGGGAGTTGTCCATGGCCTGGAGGGCAATGCCCGAGTCATTGCAGTCGAAGTTGCAATCTTGAACCAAGTTCTTGATGGCATCGACGACCTGAAGCGGAGTCAGCATGAAAGATGAGCGACGTGGGCAGATGACGGACCTTCTTCAGCAGGTTGGCCTGCTCCAGACGCGCCTCAAGCACTGGAAGACGTCAGCGATAGCTCTGCGGGGTCGCGGGCAAGACGCAGCATACTCTCGACGGTACGTGGCGAAAGAGGTACTGAAAGGGACCGAAAGCACGAATTGGGGTATCGATGAAGGTAAGGGCGAGTTGCAGGCTTTGGGTGGCGTAGGCGGGTGGTGTGGTTGAAGCAATGGAGTTGCGCTGCCTGGAGACGAGACCTGGGCTTTTTACGCGGCGCGTTGACGCGACATGACGCGCCGAGCAGGCGCCAGCCCGCGTCTTCCACTGGAGGAATCGCCGAAACTCGCCGCTGCTCTTTTCTCCACCACCGCAACCTTTTCTCCGACAGTGTCTTCAGAGCTTATCGAAACTGGACGCATCTCTGCTTACGGCGCAGAGAAGTTGTCCCTTCAACCTGAGAGAATGCAGCCCATTTTCGGGAAAAAATCTCTACTGGTCTGTGCGCAGGAATTTGGCCTCAGGCACCACAAATCCCGGACCCTGACCAAATGGCTTGACTGCACCATGGTTGCGGTGTTGGACTAAAATTGAGCCTCATGCATAAGCCGATGTCTGTGATGCACGAGTCCCGTCAGTCGCTTGCTGCCATTGGATAACTGACCAGATGCTCATGTGGCTGCTCTTCCTCATGAGGAAAGCTGATCTGCTCAGGCGGAGACATATCACTGCATGACAGACAGCACGACACGCGATTTGGACCCTTTCTCTATGTTTTCCGTGTGACAGTTTAAGTTTCGCCAGTCTTCTACGGGCTTCTCTTTTCCACGAGCCTCGCCCTTCTACAACCTCATTCATCGGCCAACAGACTTCTGTCGCGGCCCGCCTTTGTCTCACACCCTTCAACAACACCGCGCTCTTTATCGGCACACTTCTATTCTCAGACCCGCAGACAAAGACGCGACGTCAACAAAGCTCTTGTGCGCAAGATAAATTCCCTGCCTTCCCTACGCCATGAGCCTCAACTGCTCCACCACATTTGCCAGCAGCTTCAAGTCTTTCTAACGGCTACGCAGGACGTAGACAACACTGTAGCATATTCAAGTTTCTGCGCCAGCCGCAAGCGATCATACAGCAAGTTTCCCTCAATACTCACACATTTACCAGCTAACGCCACTTCAGGCCCTGACAAACATGCAGTCCACCAACAACAACGTCGAGAAGCGCGAGGCCTTCGCCCGCAAAGTCGCCCACATGCGCTTGAAGATCATGCCCATCTACCCGCTGCCGGGCGGCCCACCGCACCATGACTTCCCCTTGACGATGCTACAGTTCTACCTCCTGGGAGAGTCCCAGCTCGACGCGATGGCGACGTACTACTCGCAGAGCGTGGTCAACGAATGGACGACCAAGTACCCCGGCTTCATGGCCTGGGACGCCGAGTTCTTCGCCGACCCCGCCTTGTCCGAGACCGAGCGCGTCAAGATCAAACTCCGCAAGTTCGGCCACTTCATCGGCCTGCGCGGCTGCGAGACGCCCATCGAGGAGACGGTCATGCAGCTCAGGCTCGCCGAGGAACGCATCGGACGCGAGATCGAGCAGGCCAAGGATGCGGAGCGCGCGCAGGACAAAATCTGGAAGCGTTGGCACGGCGTCTAGGGTGGGCGTGCCACGTGGGAGGGCCCGACCTTTCTTGTTTCTCTGGGCGCCATATGGTGGTGGCTTCCTCGGGCTGTGAGTCTTTGTCCTTTGTTGCCGGCCTTTCTCTCCCTGTCCCTTTTCTGTCTAACTTCCTTTCAAGTCATTGTCTCGGCTTTTCTGCTGTGTCCTTCCTTTCATCGGCATCAACGTACCAGCGGCATTGTAAGCGTTTTTGTCTCGGCACAGGAACTTGCGCTTGACTGCGCAATACTCTTTGCTTTACCTGCACAGTTTCATAGCATGATCCAATACCCATAATCTGTTTTCAATGATGTCTGTCACCTGAATGAGTTTCCCGCGTTTCAGTGCAATGCACGGCTAAACTGTGGACCACAATTTTATGCTCGCGGAGTCTGTGACTTCCCCTTTGGGCAAACACGCAGCGCCTAGCCGACTCATAGGGTTTTCCCCCCCCCTTTCGGGACCATCCACTGTGGTTTTGGGCGAGAGGAGCAGCTCACTGTTTGACTTATATACCCACCCTAGAACTGATGCTCCTGTCACTTCTTATTGACATTACCAGAAAGCTCTCTGGGGCCTGATGTTTTTTATTTTTTTTTGACAGTCGTGATCGCATCTTTTGCTGCTGATGTCGTCTCTAAGCGAGCTGTCACCTAGAGCGGCAACCATGAGCACCGCGGCATTCGAAATGAGTAGCCTCAAGGCTTCAAATTTCAGTCCCCACGAAGCTTTGGTGGCCGGACCTGACTGCGCGAACGTCTCATGTTAAAACAATTAGTGACACCTGGTTTGAGAATAAAAGTCATATCTTTCACCTGTCGGTTGGGGTAAGTTAGTTTACCATGAGAGCATGAGACCGCCATTTCTCAAGAGACTTAAAACTTTGTTGGCATCGGCATTAAGAGTATAGAGTCCTGCAAGCACCACGTGGGGCTGATGCGCATCACTTCTCTAAGATGATGATGTGTATGAGACAAAGAAGTTGGGCTACAGGCAGACAATCGACTGGTTCTGCCGGGGGAAAGACGGTCACATTTACCCGAGAGTGGGAGTTTTCGTGGCGTAGAATTGGGAGACGGCTGGAGGCCAGGCAGACAGTCAGCATCGATTGGTCGAGATGGAATTTGGTAGGGGTAGTTAGTGAAGATGCGCATCTTATCAAGAAATGATGCCTTGGCGGAGATCTTGTATAACGCCTATGGGCCAGACTCCAATATCTTGCATGGCGGCAGTAGTCTAGAGATGGGGCTCTATGGTCCCGACAGTAGTATTCGGCAGCACGTCAGTTACGGCGAGTACGCCTGTGGTCGCGATAGTAGTCATATTCAAGCTGTTGGTGAGGGGTAGGAAAGCACCTTTGCTTGATATGGAGGTATTTTTAAGTAGGAAATGACAGGCGAATGCCTCACATGCTGGGAGGTTGAACGTGCATCGGCGGTCAATGCCTCTCTGAACAGTCCTTTGTCACGAGTGTAGGCTGTCACGAGTAGGCTATTGTTCTTTGAATACAACAATCACTGATGTTGGCAACACATGGACAGAGCTGCACCTGACTGGTTCGACGCCTTGAAACTTCCTTTTCGTTTTTCCCCGCGGTACCCATTTAAAGCCCTTCTCTCATGAACCATCCTAAACTTATGGTGCTGGCCAGCATAGCTTTGGCCAATGCCCATGTTAAAACGCCATTTTTAACACGCATTCAAGCTCGTGACTCTTTTCCTCCGGCTATTCATTAGCTCTCATTTCAAGCACCGTTCTTGGCGCCAAAACCACCCGTGCTGCCAAAGCCGCCAGCACCACGGACCGTGTCCTCGATCTTTTCGACGACAGCCACATCGGCCATGACGCACTTTTCTATGACGAGTTGCGCGATGCGGTCGTGCTTCTTGACCTCGAAATCGACGTCGGACAGGTTGGCGAGAAGCACACCGACCGGACCTCGGTAGTCGGCATCGATGACACCGGCGAGAGTGTCAATGCCATGCTTGTAGGCCAGACCGGAGCGAGGGGCAACACGGCCATCTGATAAATGTTAGTGGATGCATCAGTACATTGTGGTGGGCGATGATGAATCAGAAAGGGGTGAGGAAGCGAGGATGATTGGACGGCAGAAAGGGGGGAGATGTGCGGCTGAAGGGAAAGGGGAGCAGGTGTATCGAAGGGGGAAAGTAATAAAACCGTTGAGGACCAATCAAGGAATTGTGACGTACAGGTTCCAGCCGGTACCGAGATTTTGATGTCGGTAGGGACCAGCGCCCACTTCCGCGCCGGGATTACCGTATCGGCGGCGCTATAGAGATCATGACCGGCGGCGAAGGCGGAGCCCTTGGTTGGAGCTTTGGCGTTCCCCGACAGTAGCTCGACCTGCATGGTCGTCGACTCGGGCGCTGGGGCCGAGGCGGCGGTAGTGGTGGACATTGCGATGGGCGTGGGGGTTGCGGTACCGGACTCGTCGCCAGCGGCTACCGCTGAGGTGTGATGGAGCGCGCTGGTGGCGGTGGTAGCGGAGGCGAGGGACGGCTCGGGCTCGATGTGCTTCGTGCGCTTGCGGTGCTGTGAGGCTGGTCAGAAGCCGGTTCGATCTCGACGCCAAGGGTCGCGGTCAAGTGGAAGGCATTCGCCAGCAGCGGTCAATAGCACGAGGCAGACGAGAGACGCGACGCATGAGGTAATGGCCTACTGTGCAGACGTCCGGATTCGACCCAGCAGCTCTTGCGCATGACTGCACGAGACGGTGCTGAAACCGGATCCGTGGGACAGCCCAAAGCCGGCAACCTATGAAGCTAGTCGCGCCAATCCGCACGCGCACGCGCATTTGAGCTGCAGGTGAAGGCCGAGGAGCAACCCTACCGGCGAGGCGGGCAGAGATGGAGGATCGTGGGTCAAGGAAGGCGTGGCGGACGGGTCGGTGGTGAATTCAGACATACTAGGCGCGCGAGCAGCAAAATTGGTTGAACGGTGATGGTGCAGCGCGGGGCACGGGAATTTCGTGAGGACGCGCCGGGCCCTGGACGCGTTGGCGGACGCGATGATGACGGAAGGGACGCGATGGCCCTGCGGACGCGTGTGCCCAAGGCGGCAACGCGCCCGGGCGCAAATCGGAGCTGTGGCGTTGGGCAGGGCAACGAGCTGCAGCCCGCCGCCCTGCTGCCCAGCTTCGGGCTCAACGTGCCGCTTTTCGTGCCCTGCAGCTCCTTCCCGCCCGCCGCACTCCCCCTGGGCTTTTTGCCAGGCCTGCCGCAGCTGCGCAACAACATAAACAACACCTCGACGACTGCCGCCTCGCACCCTCTCAACCTCTCTCCGCATGCGTCCCTGAGCTCCATGCGCCCCACGCGACCCCATTTCAGCGAAGAACGCCCGTCTTAGACCCCGCTGAGGCAGCTCAAACACTCCGCGCGCAACCCGGGCCGGGCGCTCCTTACCTGCCCGCAGCCCGCAGCCCGCAGACCGAGGACTCTACACCTCAGCAGCCACGAGGTAGCACAACGCCGCGCCCAGAGTCAACATGCAGACACCGCGCCGCACAAACATCCGCCCGTCGCTGGCGAAGCCCGGCATCAACACTGCCTCGACGCCGCAACTCTCCTCTGCCGCACGCACCGCCCTCGATCGCAAAGCCTCGCTGCACGCGCTAACGGCAGGTGGTTCTCCTGTCACGCGCACACCCGGCGCGAACGGCGGCATGCACGCTGCCGGGGACGGCGGCCCACTTGCTGTTGGCGACCATGTCGACGTGCCCGGAGGAATGTACGGTGTGGTCAAGTTCGTGGGTGGTGTGAACGGAAAGAAAGGCACATTCGTCGGTGTCGAGTTGGCGAGGGAGTACGCAGCTCGCGGGAAGAACGACGGCGACGTCGATGGGTGAGTGCTCTTATATACCTGCGGTCCAAGGCGAGAATGCCATTCCGGGCCACATTGCTGACGCTGCCCAAGCACGCATTATTTCCACACCTCCGTTCCTGGCTCTGGAATCTTCCTTCCTTCCCACCGGGCCACGAAGCGCGCATCCATCGCCGACAGCTCCGAAAGCTTTCCCGCAACACCAAGCACACCAGGTGCGACCTTTGACTATGGCGGCACTTCTCCCACACCGCCGATGCCCAAATTCTCCCAGTCGGTAGGCCCTGGCACTCATGGGGCCAGTCCTCAGGGTAAACGGATGGTCAGGCCGTCGCTATCACGGCCAGGATCCCCGGTCAAGAGCAAGCCGAGCCTGACGCCCACGCCGAAAATGCCCACACCGGGCAGGAACATGAGCGGATTCTCCAAGAGCACAGTTGGTCCGTCTCGCGGCGTTACTCCGAGCCCCATGCCCAACCGGACGATCGGCGGAAGGACTCCCCAGCCCCCCAAATCGCCATCTCGATCCGGTTCGAGGACGGAGGAAGAGCAGGATCTTGCTTCCGTCTCTGCGCTGAGCGAGGCGGATAGATCCATTTCGGGTGCAATGTCCAACCGCGGTGCTGACGAGGAAGTCATGAGGTTGCAGAGAGCGCTTGCGGAACGCGACAAGCAGCTGTTGGAACAGGCGCACAGTCTCGCAGAGATGGAGAGCAGTCTGCAAGAGATCCAGAGCCTGCTTCCTACAGACGGATCGGAAATCTCCAGATCGTCACAAGGCGGCGAAATGGACGCAGACGCCGCACACCTCCGTGCATTACTGCGAGAAAAGAATGAAAAGATCTCCATGCTGACGGCAGAATTCGACATGCACCGAGCTGATTTCCGCAGCACGATAGATACCTTGGAGATGGCGTCGTCCGAGACGCAGCGCGTTTACGAGCAACGAATTGATGACCTGATGGCTGAGATCCGCGAATTACAGGAGCAAACAGAGGATGTCGAGAGCGTGGCTGAACAACTCAAACAGTTAGAAGAGCTCGTCCAGGAATTAGAAGAGGGTCTCGAGGACGCTCGCCGCGGTGAGGCCGAAGCCCGCGGAGAAGTCGAGTTCTTGCGCGGAGAGGTCGAACGTGGAAGAAGCGAGCTTCGGCGGGAGAGGGAGAAGGCGGCTCAGGCGCTCAAGGACGCTCAAGCCCTCGACTCCGGCTCCTCCTCGCGGGAAATGGAGCAACGGGACGACGAGATTCGCGGCCTCAAAGCCATCATCCACTCCCTCAGCTCCGGCGGTGGTGTGCAAAGTCCCAAGCTGGACAAGCGGAGCTCGCTCGACGGCCCCAGTGAGGCCGAGATGACAGAGCTTAGGACTTCGCTAGAGCGCATGGAGCGTGAGAAGGAGGAGCTCCGCGGTCTCATCGAACGCAAGTCGTTCCGCGAGGAGGAACTGGAGCGGGAGGTCGAGCGTCTCCGCACCGAGGCAACGCTCAGCGGCGGCGAAGCTGCCCGCGACAGCGTGATCAGCAACAAGACCAACGACCACGCCACCCCTCGGGACTCCAAGAGCACGATCGTCAGCTGGCGCGGCTACCAAAAGCAGCAGCAGCAGCACGAGCGCAACGGCTCGGAAGTCAACAAGCTCACCCCCATGGCCGAGTCCGAGCATGATGACCGCGCTTCCAGCCCCGGCGGCGCCAGCGAGCTGTGGTGCGAGATCTGCGAGACGGGCGGCCACGACATCCTCAACTGCACCAACGATCTGGGCGGTGCTGGCAAGAAGGCCTCGTTCGGCGGCGCCATCAACGAGCACCACAACGAACTGCACCTGGCTGCGGACATGTCGGAGGACACGGACATCGCAAGCTCCGTCGCCGACGACATCATCCAGAACATGGAGAAGATGTCGCTCAACCGGTCCCACGACGCCCCCGCCCCTCTTTCCTCCTCGCTCGGAAGTCCCAGCCCGGCACCCAAGGCCGCTGCTCCCCCGCCCGCCGCTCCCGCCCCCGCTCCTCCCACTTCTTCCGCCTTGCCCAACCCCTATGAGGAAGGCCTCGTGGCGGGCAAGGGACAAGACGTCGATGCGGATAAGTGGTGCGCGTTGTGCGAGCGGGATGGACACGATGCCACCGCTTGCCCCTTTGAGGATATGTTGTAGATGTTATATGCTTGTGTTTTTGTCTTCTTTTTTCTTTTTCTATCCGGAGCAACGAAAGAATTCAAGGGGGAAAGGAAAACGACAACTTCTTTGGCACACAAGAATAAGGAGAATGGGAAGAAGGATCGGAAACGACGATTTTGAATTTTTTGTTCTTGTCCTTCTATTGTTGTCGGCCCTGCCTGCCCGCTTGCCCTTCGAGGGAGATTCTTTTTTTCTTCTTCTGTTCTGTTGTTGTCGTTGCTGTTTGTTGTTTGTTTGTTTGTTGATGAGAAACATACTTAGGTAATTAATCACTTCATTGTGTGAGTTTGTGAGAGAAGAGAGAGACAGAGGTCATATGGCATTCCTCTAGTCTTCGTTCTTCTTTCTTGCTTTTTTTGTTTCGGTCTTCTTGGCTTCCTTTGAGCGCGTTAGCGATGTTTTTGCGTTGCGTTGCTTTTTGCCGTTGCCGTTGCCGTCGTTGCTTTCTCATCGGTCGTGTGTGGATGGACGAATGTCTGGGATACTTACAATGGAGTGACGGAGAGCAGGAGGAGAGAGGGAAGAGGCAACGCGCCGAACAAATCGATTGATTGGTTGATTGCTTGCTTTTCTCATCCGGGTGTGGACTAGACCTCTTTCTCCGCTTCGCTATTTTGACTTTGGAAGAGTGGTCCGGAAAGAAAGAAGAGTAGGCGCCTACGTCATTTAGATTGCAGCGTGTACCTATGTGTCTCTGTCCCCTGCGATGGGCTGCTGCTGCGAACGGTTTTATATAGATGATATCCCAGAGGGAAGTAGCGCACGTTTTGTTGCTTTTCTGTTTAGTATTCAAGTCTTCTATTTGGCTAGTAACTTGAAAGAACAGAGCTCTCATCCAAAAAAAAATAGTATTGTATGCACCAGAAGAAGCTATACTAGCTAATTGAATGCAACGGTGACCAAAGGACAGAAACTGCACAGGTGCCTCTTTCTAAACGGATTACATGTTTTGAATACCGAGCGTAATGATATTAATACAGGAAGTAAAAGGATGGATGTATGTACCTTCCCCAAAACCACCCGATAAAACAGGGTTAGAAAAAAGAGGCGCAGCCGCCGACCTCTCCAATCGCGCTGGGTATCTTGAAATGAACCACGAAAGAAGGGGGGGTAAAAGAGATCCACAAGAGAAATAAAAAGGAATCAAGACACAAACAAGGCAGAAGAAACCCTCCAATGACCCCTCCAACCGATCCCCCTGACCAAAGTAGCCCCCGATCCAAGCGACAACAAAATCATGCCTCCACCCCTTCCATCCCACCGATATCATACCAATAATCCTCATCCAGCCCTTCCCTGCTCGGCAGTTCGGGTTCGCCCGAATCCAGCTCCTCGAAGCGCACGTTGAGCAAACGGATCTTGAGGCCATAGCCGCCGACGAGCTGGACGAGCTTGTTGGTGTCGGCGGTGATGGGCTGCTGGTTGAGCAGCATCAACAGACCGTCGAGCCACTCGGACGCCAGCGTGTGGCTCTGCGGGTGCAGCGTGAGGAGGACGCTTTCCTTGGTGCTGGCGGCCGACGCCACGTCTTTGAGACTGGCGCCGTCTTTGGACGTGGGGTTGGAGCGGGACGAGTGCGAGGTGCTGGGGTGGTGGTGTTGGGACGACGAGGTGCCGCTGCCGTGGGATTTCTCGTTGGAGTAGCCGAAGATGGTGATTTTCGTGTTGGTGCTGGCGGGGAGGGTACGCAGCGTGGAGGCCGAGGACGCGGTCGTGGGAGTGCTGGCTGAGACGTTGGATACGACGGAGGAGACTGTGGTGAGGTCGACTGGACGGGGGATGGTTAGTTTGGCTGAGAAGAGACAGGAACGCCGACTTACTTTGATTCTGCAGTTGGTCGAGGCGTGGATCGTGGTCCAGCTTGTTCTCAAAGTCCGCATAGTGCAGGTAACGACGGTTGTGCGAGAGACGGACATAACGCCACGAGGACGGTACCATGCGGTTGAGAGAATTCTTGGTGACAGGGCCGGCCTCATCTCTGTATCCCAGCGTATGCGGGAACCATGAGCCTGCGAGTAGACACCTGATGCGTTGCTCCTTGACGAATTGAAGAGCCTCGTGGTTGAGCTCGTCTCGAACTTGTCTGAGTGCGCGCTGACTGTTAGAACATCGGTGGAATCGTCGTCAAGTGGAGAGTGATGCATACCGAAGATGATGACCCCAGGCGTCCTCATACGTGAGCTCAAGCAGCTCTATTTGCAACTCACGCAGTCTTTTGTAGTCAAACTCGGCGAGCTCCTCTTCAACCTCTGGCAAATCCTTTTGACGAGACGCCTGCCCGATGACCTGCTCAAATAGGATCTGGACCAGCTCCTCAACCTTTTGGAAGTCGTCAGTCTCGGCACCGGTAGCCTGCCAGAGCCGGAAAAAAGCCTGGAGACCGGCGACATGCAGACGCGACCATTGAAGCAGAAGAGGTCTGAACGCGCGGTCAAAGTTGGTTCGCGACTCCAAGATGGTGTATCGTTGTTGGTCTTCGTTCTCGCATTTCTCCACGTCGAAGTTGTCGTACAGGATCAGAGTCACGGCAAGACTGGCACGTGCAATCGGACACCTTTGCTCGGCCGGCTGGATGGACTGCTCCAGCAGAAGCTTCTGATACGCGTCCTCGTGCTTGCGGACGTAGTGGGCGAGATCCATCAGACCCAGATAACCCGTGTGGTCAAACTCCCAGGACGGAGATTCGCCTTCAAAGCCCAGCCTGCGCCATTTCTCCGGGTGGTGCTTCTTGCTGCCCTTGCTGCCCTTGCTTGTGCTCGATGGCGGTCTTTCCGGATTGCTGGCGAGATGAAGCCCCTTGAGCGCGCGGCGGTGCTCCGACTTGTCCAAATCCACCTTGAGCTCCCTCCACCGCCTCAGCAGAACCTTGCTCAGCGACTGGAACTCGAACAGAGGGTGTGCCAAGTCCTGCAGCGCACTGCTCTGCATCAGGACGTAAACCGCCTCTATCACGCCCAGATCATGCAGCTTCTTGATGAAAGCATGCCATTCGGCCTCGGAGTCGTTCGTGATGGCGTCCCTCATGAGCGAGTTGATCAGCTGCAGCGCATTGGCGCAGAGGGCGTGGTCGGCCGACGACAGGCGGCTCACGAGCATCTCCAGGAACTGCGGGTACACGGCGACGGCGGGTTTGAGGGCGCGGAAGCCAAAAGTGCCGGGGGGGATGGAGGCGCGCGTGTGCGGATGCGACACGACGGCGACGAGGATGGACATGGCGCCGCGGAGGATATTAACGAGCGGCTGGCTCACGACGAGCTCGACGACCTGCAGCAGAGGGCACGCGCGATCAGCGTTCTGGTTCCTGCGAACAAACCCTTGCCTCCCCCGACCGGGCTAGCGACGCGGCCCGCAGGCTTACCCGTTCAATGAGGTCCTGGTTGACATGGTCCCAGCCCTGATCGAGCTCCAGCAGACGGGAAAACGAAGTCAGGGCGTACGCGAGCGTGTTGCCGGTGGCAGTCAAACAGAGGTGGCGCAGCTTCGGGAGGCCGCCTTCGATGGTGAAGACGTCGGCGAACGACGGGTCGCCGATGACGGATTGCAGCTTGAAGACGGCCATCTTGCGGACCGAGTCCTCGTCGGCGCCAAGGCGCTCGACGAGCTCGGGAATGTTGATGTTCTCCATGCTGTCGTGGTCGGGGGCAGCCCTGTGGAAAGACACGCGACGTGACGCAGGACAGGGGTGGGCGGCGGGTGGTACAACGGAATGGCGACGGCGGCGGCCCCAATCAGATCATTGCCGGCGGCTGCTGGTATCCGACAGCGGGCAGCGAGGGCGCGGGACACGCAGAGTTGGTGTTGTCGCGGAGAGAGGTACGAGTCGCAGCAGCCAGGGTGGGATGGGGCGCGCGTGTCTCGTAGCGGAGATCGTCAGGGCCTTTCCCCACAGCCTGGGCGCCCATCCGCCGCACCCGCCAAGCCCACGCAGAACACCGCACGCCTGTCGGGCCTCCAGCCGGCGAGCAAAATCCAAACATGGCCCTCCCTGGTCGGACCCCGGTGCCGCTGATCTCACCCTCCGCCATCGACACGCCGTGTCACGACAGCGGACAGAAAAGACCCTCGCCGCCGCCGGGGAAAAAGCGCCAGACTAGCAGCGGACCCCTACACCCAGCGCCGTCACGAGCTGCGTGGACCTGCGTTCAACTAGATGGCCCCTTGACCGGCCTGTACCACCTCGCTTATCCGCTGCGACACATGGCAATAATGTGCCAGCACTCGTACAGCACACCGCTACATGTCCACGCAAGGGCACGTCGATGACGCCACTATTTCGTCTATGCGATGGTTGTATTCAAGTCTCCCACAAGCTATTTTACCAGGCCAGGTCTATGGAAACACGTTCGACGGCTTGCCAACCAGACGCCTCGCTGACGTCGGCGCATCCCGGAGCAGAGTCAGACACGATGGGGTGTCGTGTGTGCCAATGCCTTCGCCATGCGCCGTCCACATCGGATGGAAAAATAAAAGTAACACAATAAATGCAAAACTCCCGGTTCCCATGTCCCATAGGTTTCCTAGATCCTTGATTCTCTCGTGCAAGTGCGACGAGGACGAAATATCCGTGAAACACCGGTACCGGCCCAATGCTGTTATGACCACCAGTCAACTCCTTTGCCGGACGGCTAATCAATCAACTGCGCCACCCGACGTTCCAAATGACGTGGGCGATGTCTTTTGCCGTGTTCACCGTGTCTACCACTTTGCCAAACAGTCCCGCAGCAACAATGTCGTCCTCGTCCTCTTCGTACGGCATGAACATCCCGGACGGCGTCCGTCGCAACCCACCGGACTGGCTGTCCTCGCCCTCGTCATCTTCCTGGCCGAAGCGCTGGTTGAACGAACCGTTGTTTCGTTGCCCAGAGAACGAGTTCGACGGCTCCCACGAGTATTCCTCGTCGTCATCGTCATCCTCGCCGAGCAGGAAATTGCTCGCCGGCCGGGAAGGCTTGAGCGTCTCCTGAGACGGTGAAGGCGAAAGCCGACTCGACCTCCAGAATCCTAGCGAATGAGCTGGGGTGTGGTCGGGAACGTCGGGCGAATCGACCCGATATTTCAAGGTCGTGTCGGGCAGCTTCTGGATCGTCTTGTTCTCCGCTCCAAAGTTAGTCTTCGAGTTGCTCCGTGACAACCGCCTCGGTTTTGTCCTGATCTCAAGCCCATCGTCCGACGAGTCGTCGTCCTCTTCGTTTGTCCAGGGCTCCTCATCATAATCATCATCCGCGTCTTTGCACTCTACTGCGATACATTGCTCCACCTTGTCGTCAAACCGAATGTGTTTTCTCTCGCCGTCTCCGGGAGTCTGGAGACCAGAAGTCGACTGTGAAGTGTGCGAGGTGAAGTCGGTGGCTTCTCTACTTGTGCTCTTGGAGGGGATCGACGGTGTGGTGACGTAGTCCGAGGTCGAGCGCGCATAAGAGGGACGAGGACTCAGCGCTGGAGCACCGCTGCGCTCGGCCTGCACGGCGGCAGCTGCCTGTTTGATGAGTGACGAGTTCGATATCGAGCGCTGGAGCATGACTTCCGACATGCTGCGCTTCTTGAGGATCGGCTTCTTGTTGATGAACGAGTTGCTCTTCGAGAGCATCGTGCTTCCGGCTTCCGAGACGGGGTGGGTGAGAGGAGTGTAGGACGATGTTTGCAACGGACCGTACAACCATGTGACGTCGCAATCCTTGAGCCTAATGGTAAGTTAGCACATCTGTAATCGGTTTAGATTATATTGAAAAAAGACCGTGCGCTTAGGATTGTGTGCTAGCGGGGGGGAATGTGCGAAAGCTTTTAGGATGCAAACCCAGTCGTACATGAAGACAAGAGGTTTCGATGCTGCGTCGCTCAAAACGATTGCCGCCGGGGCAAGACTATTCAACAAGATCCATTCAGGCGTGTGTGGATCAAGACTTTTCGCCTGTCTGAAGGATGTGGGACAGCTTTTGGTTTGACATGGACATCTCAACCGTCTCGTGGATGTGCCAAAAACACCGCTATTATGCTTATTGCGGAAGAAAAAAACAGGAACTTACCAATTGAGAGTCTCGGGCGAGACGGTCCGTAATTGATACTTCGCCTTCGCCCAGGTCCGCCACGATGCATTCTCTAGTCTTGATCTTTGCCCGTAGGTCTTGCGGTTGGTGGTGATGTGTCGCCATGAGGACCAGATGTCCTCTTCTCTCCAGTCATGCGAGAGGTAGTCGACATGCCGAGTCGGTTCGGGCTTGATCGCCGAGTCGTCTTCGGCTATGGGCAGGGGCTCGGGGGTGGAAGTCGTGTTGGTTGAAATTATGGAGTCGCTGGCGGAGGACGGGGTGGGGTATGTATCCGCTTTGGAGCTGCTGTCGTCGTCCTGGCGGCCGTCGATGTCGTACGACGGGAACCCAATCGCCTCGTCATCGTCGTCGTCGTCGTCGTCGGTGTCGTCGTGCACTTGTGTTTTCAACTGCACCTGCTCCACGAGACGGGTCCGATCGGTCGAGAGGAAGGATTGGATCGGAGGGTCGCGATCATCGATGGTGACAGGTGACTCGACAAGCGGTGGGGATGCCACGACGAGGGTCGGTGCGCGCTCGGTGCTGGCAAACCTCGCTTGGCGGGTCGAAGGCGACGGGGTGTAGGTGGGCGAGCCCACCAGGAAGGACGGTTGCGACGGGGAAGAGCGGCGCAACGGAGCGGGCGAAAAGTACGACTGGCCGTCAGGCAGCTGGGCGGGAAGCACTTCGGCCATGGTGTCGGGGTGGTGAGAGGCCTCGGCAGCGGTGGCAGTGGCGGTGGCCGTTGTGGCTTTGACGTGTTGTCCCGGGCGGTCCAACCCCTCCACCTTCACGCACGCTGGCTCGTGGTTGTTATGCGTCGCCGCGACCCCACATGGACGGGGACGATTAGAATCCAGGGAATTGGGCGGAGCGGGTGTCGATTGAAGGCCGGGGCGAACGACGGACGGTCCGGAGGATATGGGTCGGCTCAGAGGAGATGACCAAGGGAAGACTCGGGTCTGGTGGCGGGGACACGGCTGGGGCTCTGGCAATTAAGTGAAGCCGAGACGGACGGAGAGGGTCCTCGCACGATAAGCAAGGATCCAGGGAGGGCCCGGGTGGTGAAGAGGGCTCTAGCTGGCAGCTGGGAAGCCCCGGCACGTACAATGCGGGGAAGGGCGCGGGTTTGAGGGCGGCGAGGGTGGAACGCTGAGAGGTATTTGACGCTCGGGGAGAGCAGTGCTGGAAGCATCGAGGTAAAATTGCAGCGCTTGGGGCCTGCAGAGTGGAGGCGCTCCAGGTGGAGTTGGCGGGCGTGCGTCGCGGCACGTAGGGCCTGGGCTCACCTAGGATTCGGCGACGAGGCGGCGCGAAAGAACTAGCAGGGCGTGGGCGAAAACAGCCAGGATCGGCGCTCCATGCACCGCCGTGGTCACCGTTACCGTTGATGATGCTTCCGCTAAGCCGCGCCAGGGCAAATCAGGCGCGCGCGGGCTGCCAGCAGCGAGGATCATGGCAGATCCAGGTGCGCTGCGCGGCGCTGGGGTTGCGAGTCTCGATCGCTGGAGCCACCGGCTGCGCGAGGCGTGGGCTGCCCGTGCGTGGTGCAGCCAAACCGATCCTCTCCGCTCAACGCCCCCCGCGCTCCAGCGTTGCCGACGTCGCCAGCCAGCAAGGGGCGCTGCGAGCATCATTTCGGTCGCCGACGACGCTGCAGCGTGGCGAGCGCAGCTGCAGCGATAAGGAATGCTGCATGCCCCCATCCCTGACGCAGCAGCCCGCCGCATCTTCGCTACCGGCTGGGCGACTGGGCGACTGGGCGCTGGGGCCGGGGGCCGCGGCCAGAGGGCACAGAAAGTCGCGGCCGCCCTCAGCCCTGCAGCCGCGGCGGCCTCGCGACGTCGTCTTTGCGATCGCGCTGTTGGTCGCTCGCGGGCTGGAGGGCGCTCTGACGTCCGCGCGCGGATGCGGGGTTTATCGAGATTCTCCGCCTCTGCGATCCTGGCGCCCAATGGCGTGCCGCTGCCCTTCGCGCTGCACAAAGAACGTGACTGCCAAATCGCCCGCCGACTCGCGCCATGGATGCGCCGCCTGTTGTTGTCCTGAGCACGAATGCCAGGCCACGGCCAGCGCCGGCGCAGGCGCGACGTACCAGTCCTGCTGAAATTTCTCCGCAACGGCGGGAGGGTCCATCTCGGGCCCAGTAGGAAACGCGCGGCGACGGCCGCTATTGCCTCCAGCCTGAGAGAGCCAACCCTCCCTGGCCCCAGCCCACGATTCGGCGATTAGCAATCGAAACAACGATCAGCACTCGACGCAGGTGCGCTGTGGCTCTGCGGCGTCGCGGATTGACACACTGTTCCCTGGCTGCGCGGCGACGGGTATGCCATTCCGCAGCCGCTGGCTTTGAGCTTATCTCAGTTGCCTGTATTGCCCGCCGCGCCATTCGCCCGCCGCGCCCGTCCAGCGCCCGCCCAGCGCCCCTCCAGCCCCGCGTGGGGCGTGAGCCGATGAGTGCATATCTCCTGCTTCATGAAAACGGGTGCGGTGCGGAGGGCGTTGCAACTGCGGTTCAAACTCTACTACGTAGTATGGTGTTTGGCGCTGATGCTGGAAGCTTGGGCGTGCGTCGCGCGCCGGGGGTTTCCATGGGTGCCCTGCCGGAGCCTCCCAGAATGCTCCGCACCTAGAGACGAGCGCAGGCCTGAGGAGCCACAGCGCCATGACCGCATCGCTGCGCTCTTGGATACAGCCAGCATGGTGCCCGACCTGACACCCCACACATTCCTGCCTTCCGTCCCTTGGTCCCTCGGTCGCACAAGTCGCGAGAAAAAAAAAAAAAGCCTTCCGTCTCGCTTCGCTGCTCCAACCGCAAACGTGTCCTGCAGCCGCGCCATCCCCCGATGCCCACACCTCCCCTCCCGCTGTAACGGTACCCGCTGGCCTGCCGTCCTGCCGTCCTGCCGTCCTGCCGCCCTGCCACTTGCGTCGTCCCGCCCCGGCTCAGTTTCCTCGTCTTACCTCCGTCCGCCGACGCGACTCTACCGGCAACCAGCCAACCCCCCGACATGCCCCGACGGCCGACGCTCCCGTCAACCGCTCCGGCCTGCCCGTCCCGCGGCTGATGACGACCAACCTATTACGACGTTGCACCGCCGTCTCAGATCCGCCTTGCCGCTTCGGGCGAGGCTCGACGCGGCCGCAGGGGTCGCCTATTGTTATTATTGTCCTCGATAGCGATGCGATGATGGAAGGGACGGCAACGCCGTTGACGATTATGTGGACCCTTCCGCCCTTGGTTGAGACGCGCAAACACGACCGGCATGACGATGCCCCTCAGTTATTAGGCCGTGATGTGCCAATTCCTGGAGCACACAAGAGGGGACCGCAAAGGGCCATTGTCCTGTTCGAGCCGGTGGCGGCCCTGGCCATGCTCGTCATTGCGCAGGATTTGCCCATGCATGGCATGCAATGCATATAAGCTGCCACAGCCCGCTTTTCCCTCGCCCTTTGCACCTGTTTGGCCATCCGCCGAAAACACATGAAAGTCGCAGAGCGGGCTCTGAGCAGCAAGCCCTGGCGGCATCGGCCCGGGGGGCTTGCCGCCTGGACCTGCAATTGAGAGGCCTTCCGTGCCGCTGAACCTTGGATCGCTGGCCGCCGCCAGGATGGCGAAGATACGAGCACATATCTTTCTCATGCCAGTGGCTACTCCACCGGCCTTCCGCTTCTGTATGTGCCGCGCGGGTGTGAAGGGTTATTCTATCAGCCGGGCCGGTCCAAGGTTCGTGGGACCGCACTTGTCAGATCCTTTGGTCTGCCGCAGTCCGCAGCATGTTGTCCTACTTTTATTACGCACGCCGCTGTTAATCACGTCTTCTACAGTCGGCGCTGCCTCGGGAAAGCTGGCGTCGTTGGAAAATGCCTACACGTCTTCCTCGACAAACTCCGTTTCGCCATACCTGCAACCCGCGGCGATTGACTTTCCTGCCTCGTATCTCCTTACCAAAGACGGATTAGGGCCGCCTCTCGACATTCCGAGCACCGGTCAACTGCATTGTACGCTCTCCAACCGAGGGCCCCCGGTACCGCTTGGGCCTAGCTCACGATAAGGATCTGGCGTTCTAGGTTGAACAAGTCGTTTCGACACGTCCACTCCTTTGAGAATCACCGTGAGGTGTTGGTCGAGATTGCCACGGTTGGCGCTATCAACGACACTTGCCAAGTACCCCGCCTTTCGTTTGCGGCGCTCAGCTCCTACCGCCGACTACGTATGCGCCCCGCAACCTCCGGAAGCCCTCCGCGGTGATTGACTAGCCGCACGCTGTTTCATGACCTTTGTACGCCATTTCATGACTGCGACGTCCGCTGCCAGTTGCTTCGACTCCATCAGGGATTCTCGAGACACCATGCTCTCCATCCTCCCCCGTGTCAGGTGCCACTCGGCAGATCATTTGACCGCCTTTCAGTCGATCCCTTGGTGCTCACGGCGAGTTTAACTTCTGTACCTCTCAAACTGGTCATGAGGACACCTTTCGTCGCCAGCCTCACTTTGCGCTTCTACACGCTCTTCGGGCCGAGCTTCGACCTCCGTCATTTGTCGGCGCAGTGTCAGATCTGTCCAACCAGATGAGTTGCCGCTGCGTCCTTGCAGGGCGAACCGCTTACACGCAGTATTTCCTTCTGCTTCCGCCTTCCCATACTTTCCTTCAAATCAAGTGTGCATTGGGAACGCCGTCGGTCCGGTCAGACACGCGTTACCGAGGACGATAGAACGGGTTGTCGGACGGTCCTGCATTGGCCCTGAGCCCCTTTAGTCGGCATTAGCGTTTCTTAGGTTGTTGGGCATGGTGAAGCCAGCCTTACAAGATGCAGCACAATATGCTGTGCCACGCGTGAGACTCGGATGCCAAAGCAGCGCAAGACCGGTTTCTCCGGGCTCACTGCATGAATCTTTCCATGGTACCGCTTACTCAGCACACAGAGGCACTAAGCGGGGAGATGTATCCTTCTTTTACATCGAATGCAACGCCGAATGCGGAGGTGGGAGGTCTTGAAAAAGCAACATCAAACTCATCGTTCTGCCCGCGGCGGCTGCGTGCCCTTTGAGCCAGTTCTGCAGTTAGACATGCTTCTCCAGCATGCTGTCACAAGACGGCAGCGTTGTGGCCAACTGCCGGGCGCCTACAGGTGGCTGGGCGGGAGGGCTTGCAGGTTTCTGATCTTGCGGTTTCCCGTCAACGGTAGGCTCACGGGACGGCTGGCCGCGCTTCCGTCTCGCAGCATGCTCAGCAAAGCTTCACTAGTAGACGTTTTCAGAGGCCTCGTGTATATCTGACAGTGCAGCCACGCGGCATCTGCATCCAGAAAGCCGCCAGAGACTGTCTCGGCTTTCTGGCAACCCTTCAACCATTCACCATCGACGGCAATCCGTGTCAACGTCGCCGCTTCCATTTCTCCTAGTCTCCTCACTTCCTGCAGCGGATGAATCCCTGGGCATGCAGTTTAGACTTTCACCCTCGCTTAGCCATTCGCATGCTCCCACTTCTCCGCTCTTCGGATGTCATCCTTTTTTGAACCCAAATTTCCGCCTGCACAACCATCGTGGATGTCATTTCCTGAAATTCCTTGGAGGATCATTAGGCTTTTACTGTACGCACTCGAGCCGATCGTGGAGTCGACTGCGATGCTACCCGGAGCCCGGGGATCCGCAGTCCAATTTGCAAACCTCGCACACCAGTAACGTGGCGAT